CCTGCAGGTGTAGCAGCAGACCAACATCGCCATCACCTGGGCCGGTGGACTCCACGACGCCAAGAAGTCCGAATCATCTGGTTTCTGTTACGTGAACGACATCGTCCTGGTCATTTTTGAGCTGCTCAAGTAAGAAAAACATGTCATGTTTTTCGTGACCTGAAATGAAGCTTTTGGACAGCATTTACAGAGTGTTGTTTAATGTTTACAGGACATCGGGGCTGGAAAGAGGAAATACTCTGTTTTACTGTGAGTGCGATTTAGTTAGCAGTAATTAGTAACCTGTGGATGATTGACCAGAGCCAGAACCAGTAGTAGTGTTATTGCATTTACTGTATTTGTCTTTGCAGAAGTAAAAGGTTAAGATGGAGACATCGGGGTGAGGACTTTGTGTGCTAAATGGAGAGTTGTTTTTGACTTTGTCCAAATAAAGTGTTTGTTTTACTTGAATTGTTGAATGTGAAATTCTTTAGTACGAAGTACTGGCACAAAGCAAATGAGTGGTTTGCCTAAGTAGATTGTAGTGGTTATTTATTTTATTTTATTTTTTTGTTGTTGCTTTTTTTCATTAAGGTAAGGCTATTCAGTTACTCACATACAGATGCCAAGCCAGCCACACCCACAAATGTGCATTTTTGTGCAAACACATCCATCATCCAGTTTTACTTTACATTTTTTCATACAATTTTTTTTTTTAAATAATTTTTAACTAATAAAAAAGGGACCTAAATGAGTGGCCAAAAATAGCTTAAATGTAATGGATGGTCCAGTAATAATAAAAATAAAATACTTTACCTGTTCTTTTGTACAGTTTGTCTATAAATAATTTGTTTTTCATCTTATGACAGACATTGCCTCTGGGACATTTGTTTTTTTTAATATTTTACTCTAATACGTACTAATAAGTACATTCAGTTATGTTCTTGTCTTCCTACTTGCTGAAGTTGCACGGTCTTTCATTATGACCTGACAAAAGCAGGTGTAACACTGGTTAAACAGGTTAACCACTGATCAAGATAAGGTTAGGATCAGGGGGAGTGGTAGTCATAGATGAGTAACTTAAAAATATAATAAAATACACAAAAATAAATTAATTTTATTGCAAATAAGCAGAAATATTTAAAAATAAAAAAAATATAAAAAATATATACGGATAAAGCTATAAG